TGCAGTTCACGGCCCAACTCACACCCACTTGGCCACCAGGAGGCCCCAGCCTAAAGGGTGGGTCCACACTCATGCTTCCTGAACCAGGGTGAATGAGGCCACGCAGCCCAGAGCATCCAAGTCAGTGTTTGCCAACTCCCTGGGGTGGGGGTGGGGCTGCAAAAGCAGATAGGTGCACTCTATGCTGGATGATGGGCTTCACACAAACGTTTTTAACTGCCTGGTTGGGGGGGGGCCCCCCCGCGCCGAGTCATTGTTTTTCTGAAAAGGGGCGACGGGCCAAATCAGCTTGGGAATCTATGATCTGAATGAACACTCTCTCCTATACAAAGGGCTTCAGAGAAGTTGGTGGGAAAATCCTGTGATCTTCTAGTTCCATTTCCCACCAGCTTGTTGAAGACCCTCTTCCGCTCTGCATACCCCTGCCCCATTTCGCCCCGGGTGGATTCATGAACCCCTTTCCCTCTTCCAGAATGCCAGCTCAGCAGGCAGATACGGACAGCTGTGCCCGGGTGCAGCTGCGTCCATCTCTTGCACGGGGGCACTGACTGCCTCACGGCTTGGGGGGTTGGTGTTTGGCTCAAAGAACCACTGAGCTCACAGCATTCTTTCAGCAGCTCCAGAAGGCGGGCGTCATGAGGCTGGACCCCTCCCCATGGGCACTGAGCCTGTGGACAGTCCGCCCTTACCAACCTCTCCCTGTTCAGGAGCCGGCAGCATCCAAGCCTGGCTTCTTCCAGGGCCTCAAAGAACCAGGCTCCTCCCGGGCCCAGGTCTCTGCTGGTGCTGTCCGAAGGCTGACTGACCAGCAGGCTTCCACCTGACCCCTCCCACACATGCCGGGCCCCCCAGACACACTCCTCTGGCCATGTCTGCCAGGGCACTTAGCTGAAAGGTAATTAAGGACACAGACTCTCTCCCACTGGGATGTGAGGGTCGGGGAGAAGCCATTCCTAGGCGAAGTGGGTCAAGCATTGGAGGTCAGACCGCAGGGTTAGCGGTTCGAACCTGTCAGCTGCTCCTCGAGAGAAAGAAGTGACCGCCTACCCTCAAATTTACAGGCTGGGAAGCCCACAGGGGCGGCTCTACTCTGCGCTACGGGCTCACTATGGGTGGGGACTGATCCGATGGCAGTGAGTTTCCTTCGAAGGTGGTCACACCTGACCACTGTGGCCACCCCCACGTGTCGAGTCCCAGGCGTGAACAAACTGAAGGGGTCGCTCCTGGGCTGTGGCGTTTGAGCCCTGTGCTGCAGGCCGGCTCGTTCTCATGCCATGACCCAGAGTGTCGGTGCTAGTGATGCCACCAGATGGAAGCACCCCTGTCAGCCGAGCCCCCCAACTGCCCTGCACCTCTGTGCGGCTGAAGCTCGAGGGCCTCGGGACCAACCCGCAGCTGCACCGAGTTCTGGCATTCTCTGGCACCCAGTGAATGAGTGGGGGCAGCTAGAGGCAGACACGGGACCATGCCAGGGCAGCTGTGGACCTCAGCGGCAGATGAGAGACGGGGACAGTTGAAAGGCCCCAAGTCTCTGCTCCTATCAGGCCGGGCCTGTGTCAGAGGCCCTCCTCACGACTGGCTCCTAGGGGCTGGCAGACAAGTCTCGGGAGCCACCCTGGGAATGGGGGGTGGGTGGGTAGGGGGCTGCTCAGAAGTGACACCTGAAAAAGCCCTATCAGCTGAAACAGCAAGCCTGCGTGAAGGGCCCTAGCTAATGCAGGCTGACAAGCGCCCCCATGGAATCTCCCGGCGGGGCTCTGCCCTCCCGGCTCCAGCCAGGGGATAAATCACACTGTCAGGTCTAATCTGGGCAGGCTGAGCAGAGCAGCCATGCATGCTGGCCGTGGAGATCAAGGGCGGCCCAGCGTTGAAGTGGGGGCTCAGAGCCTGGGGACTGGGAGAGAGGGGCGGGGCTTTCAGTGACTCTCCTGTCCTGTCCTGTGGCATCTCTGCCCCCAGCCTCGGCTCTGCAGGCCAGCTCTCAGGGTATGGCCCTACTGCAGCCGGCCACCTATTCGCCCAGGGCAGGGCCCACTGAGAGTGGGTGAGAGTCCCGGAGCAGCAGCTCACGCTGCTTATCTGATGAGAGGGGTGGGCCAGCTGCACCTCTGCTACACACAGTGAGGGTGAGTGGCGGCACGCCACCTGCTAGGTCGCCATCACCATCCCTTCACGCACCTGCCCTCACTTGGGCGCACACACTGCGTCGAGCCCGCTCGTCCTCACAACCATAGTGCGGGCTTCCGAGACTGGAACTCCATGGAGGAGAGAAGCCTCACCTCTCTCCTCGGAGCGGCTGGGGGACTCCAGCGCAGACCTTGTGGCTCCTCTCAATCCGTCCTAGGTACCAAAATTCATACTCAGGTTGCAATCCTCAAAACCAAGGGTGGGAAGTGGAGACTCCGGCAGGTGAGCCGGGCCCTGAAGCACTAGGTCGGTGGGTGGGACCTGGGAGCCTGGGTTCTTGGCCGTCGGTGGTGCTGCCTTTTCCAAGCTTGCCCTGAAACCCCAGGCCAGTGCCAGGGGTCTCCTCTGGGTAGCCGTGCCTGCGGCTTCGCCCAGTGGAGCGCTCCACTCTGGGCTGTTTCTCTTCGAGCCTTCCTCACAGCCCACCCAGCACAGGGCCAACAACACGGGCAGGCTCAGTGACTGGATGGATGGATGGACAGACAGATGGGCAGGCAGGTGGCCACCCCTGAGTGCACACCTCTCTATCGAGGGAGCAATGGAGATCCAGATAGGAGGGCAGTCGTGGAAGCATGCCACTGGACAAAAAGGGGGCAGAGAAGCAGTGGGCTCAGCTGGTAGCCAGGCCCCTCCAATTGTGGGTGGGCTTCACTGGATCTTTGATCTCAAATCCCACAAGGTGAACGATGAGCCGTGTGCCTTTACACGACACAGCTGTGCGAAGCACATGCATCGTCCGCTCTGTGGTGACCATGGTAGGTAAACACAGGCAGCCAGTGCTAACCTTGCTAACTGGGTTCCCTGGCCCAGCCAGACATCCCAAGTTTGAGAAGCAGCTCTGATTCTGTAGGAAGGGGTGCTGTGGAGCTGGGAGACAAACAGATGGCAGCCAGACCCCAAAGCAGAATCTTCGATGTGGTGGGGAAAATGCGTAATTGTTTACTGCAGATGAATAAGCAAGCACAAGTGAGCCCGTGCTTATCCTGCGTACCAGGTAACCGGACACGCGACGAGAGCCAGCAGCCAGGAGAACAGTCACCGAAGTTTGCAGGGAGCTTCAAAAGCTCACTGAGAAATGGAATGACAAGATCCCACCGACTCTTCAAAGCCCCCGTACATTTCCTGGGGAGACCTGGTGGTTTAGCCGCTGGCTGCTAACTCCAAGGTCGGAGGTTAAACGCGTCAGCTGCTCTGGGGGAGCAAGACGAGGCCGTCTGCTTTCCGATTCAGTCTGGAACCCTCCACAGGGTGGAGAGGGTTGGGTTGGGTTGGGTTGGTATCCCAAGGTCACCATCACTGCCAGCATCCAGTCTGAAGCCCAGAATCCTCTGCTTCCCCTTCCACACTGTTCGGGCTAAATGGTGCTTGGAGGTTTAGCTATAGGCGCTCCCAAGCTCCTGCTCTGCACCCCACAAACAGCGGATGAGCCATGCCTCACTACAAATTGGACCGGCACACCTGGGGTCCGCCGCACCACTTGGGATGCAGCCCGCAGAAATGAGAAGGGATGTTCACGAGCAAAAAGCACCACATACAAAGTCTTCAAGTCCTGCATCACATGTGAAGCAGTCACCATATGTACATAGTTTAAGTTATGTTGTTAAAACCGACACTTTATTTTTAACCCACAGAGAAAGTGGTACTACGGCAGTCACACTGTGGGGTAAGGGGGCTGCTCTATTAACTTAGCCAACGGTCTACTGTCTAAACCCGATGGGCATTTTGACCGCTGGGATTAGAAATGTTTTTTTAAAAATAAGGGGCGATACCTCGATGTGTATGAACAGACTCTGCTCTGCGCCGTTCTGGGGGGCCGTGGAGAAGGAGCCACGGGAGGCCATCAGGGCTCTTCTCATTCTAGTGTGGCAAAACACACACAAAGCCTGCCGTCGCAACCTTGCTTACACGTGTTGTGTTTTGACCGGTCACCTGTGAGGGCTCCTTTGGGCATCAGCATGGCCAGCTCTATGGGGTCCACTGGCGTGTCCAAATACGAGTTTACATATTGCTGGGAAGGCAGCATGTTGCGACAATTTACCATCATTTTATCTCAACCCACAAAGCTCGCCCTGGGCAACACGGTGGGCCGTATCCAAGCGTGGAAGCGTTAACAGCAGGAACCGCGGCTCTCCAAAAGCGGCATTTGCCATTGAGACTGGCACAGACGTCTTGTCCGAGTTTCCAGACTGCCCCACAATCACACGAGCTCATGTCTTCTAAAATCAAGCGAGCAAGCAATCCCGTCTCCCTTTCTGTTTACAAGGGACCTTCAAAAGAAGGTTGTGAAAAAATGGATAAAAACATGAAGTTTTCCTGTGAACTTTTGGAAACACATATCTCTATCGGTTCTGCTTCTCCGAAGAACCCGATATACACAAACTAAGACGGGAAGCACACACACTCCACGCTCTGTAGTGCCAACGATCGAGCGTTCAGCGGTGGCCCGAGACGCAGGTCTCCTCCGACATAAATGAGACTGACATGAGTCAGAATCGAACCCGATGGCAACCGGTTAGGTTAGGTTTTGGGTATCTACGTGGGGCTTCAAAATGTCAGTGGAAAGATTCCATTGTCTTTTCATTTCCTTTTACCACTGACTTTTTGAAGCCCCGCGTGTGCACACAGCAGTGTGGATGCGTGGAGAGATCTGACAGGGCACCTCTGGGGAAGATGCCAGCCCCGCGGGCGGTGGGAGACATGGGGAGGAAGGCACTGTCCCCATGACATTCTTTTGGATCATCTTTAGTAATCAAGGTGCTTCCACAAGCTCGTTGTAAAATGTGAGCAAACCCCAGATGGTCGCGTCCACTCACCCTTCGCACACCCAGGACTCTAGAGGTCGGAGGGTCTCAGGAGAGCCGGCATCAAAGACTGCATCTATGGAGCAAGGAAAAGAAATAAAAGGTTATGTCTTCGGCCACCTGGAGTCTACCTACTGCAACATTTGCCTGTCACCCCTTTCTTTCCCTGGCCCCTCAACAAACAGGCACTGCACACCTGCTGCCCATGCCAGGCACTGCAACTAGGGCCGCCGCCACCATCCTCGCCCCTCGGGAGGACGACACACACCACAAACCGAGCCCCAAAGAAAACACCCAAACTCACTGCCACCAAGTCCAGTCTCACTCCCAGCGACCCTGCAGGACGGGTTTTAACCGCGCTTCGGGATTTCTCAGACCGGAACTCTTTACAGGAGTAGAAAGCCTCCTGTCCTGGTGGTGGTTCTGAACCACTAACCTTGCGGGTTGGCAGCCAGTGCCTGACTCGTATGCCACTGGGGCTACCAATCAACAGACGCAGAACACACCGAGTGTGGGGGCAGTAAGAGCCCGGGAGAAAGACGACGACCGTGCAGCGAGCAGGCTGGTGTGCCCCGACTCGGTGGCTATGGGAAAGCCGGAGGGGAGGAGACCGGAACACGGGAGACAGCACACTGTCAGCAGAGCAAAGGCAGTGAGGTGGCAGTAGTGCATGTGGAGCATTTGGGGAGCAGCCAGGAAGCCAGGGTGACTGGGGCAGGGTGGGCAAAGTGGAGAAGGCAGCGAGGTAATGGGCCACGAGAGAGGCCCTTTGAGGGAAACAGTGCTGTCCGGAGGCGTATCTCTGTTCCTACTGGAGTCCAGTGCACCCCAGCCCATGTGCCTGCAGCCACAGGCCGCTGGTTGCCCCGGGGTCTGTGGGGGCAGAACAGCTGCACAGGGCTGTCAAGGCTGTGATGTTTCTGATGCAGATGGCCGGGCTGGGCTGCAGCGGGGCCTCTGGGTGGGTTTGAACCACCAATCTTTGGGCTTAACCTCTGTACCACCCATCTGAGCCGTCCCCTGGTTCTCAACGCTATACTATGAACACAGAGGTTTCTGAACTATTCGGCAGTTATTTATATTCTGATGGATTTTTTCATGAAAGGATGAATGTCTCCCATCACAGGCCCAGCACTGACCAAGTCAGAGAGATGAGCTCTGAGAGGTACCAGCCCTCATGCCCCATGTGTGTGTGCCAGACTCGGTCCTCAGCCCTGGACAGGTGCCCACTCATTTCATCCTCTCAACGATCCTCAGAAAATGAAAGCCAAACCCACAGCTATTAGTCAATACTGACTACAGTACTGATGATACAGTTCTGCCTATAGGAGAGGGTAGAACTGCCCCTGCGAGTTCCCAAGTGTGCTACTCTCTACGGGAAGTAGAAAGCCCACCTTCCCTCTTCGAGAGGCTGGTGGTTTCAATCTGCCGACCCTGCGGACTGTAGTCCAACATGTAACCACTGCGCCACCGAGGCAGTACCTAATCGTAAGAAGCAGGTCCATTTATTTCCCCGCTCGTGTTACAAGTGAGGCCCTGAGTCGGAGAGAAACACGCTATGAGTCTGAGCCTGTCCAGCTAAGCAGAAGTATAGCCAGGAGATAAACTCAGGTGCCTGGCCCCAAAGCCTCCTCCAGCTAGATCAGCCTCTGCTATCAGTCAGTGAAGAGGCTAAATGCAGGCTGGCCATGCCTTGCTACCCCCCCTCCCCCATGCTGTAATGTCTAAATACACAAGGTCAAGGCCCAGACCAAACAGTGGCTTCCCCAGGAAGTTTCCTGGAAGGAAACCTAGTGAGCAGCAAGTCAACTTTCCAGAGTCCAGGCATCTGGGCAGTTTTAACAATCCTGCCTCGAGAGTCCCTAAGAAGGGCAACGAGTCTCTAACTGCTCTCACGCCAGGCACTCCGGTTGACAGTCTCCACAAAGCAGGCAGGGCTGCCTTTGCTTCCAAGTGCAAGGCCAACAGTACACTGACTGTGGAGGGAGGACGGGAGAGACAGTGCACACCTTTCTCCACCAAAGTCTTTAATGACAAGATCTGTTGGTGAGACCAAGAACCACAGTCCTTCAGAAATCGATGAATGCAATGCTGTTTGGGGACAGCGCCAAACTGTAAAATGACAGAAGTATCAGTGCTTCCTCCGGCGCAGGTGCAGCTAAAACCACTGTGTGCTGCTTCCCTCCCAGCCCTCCCCACACCCACCCGCTCCTGCTCATAATGGAAGGAAATTCAGTTCTAGGGTAGAGAAAATAAACATTCGATGGCTTTTCTTAGCCAGCTTCTAGATCTGAATTCCACCCTTTATAGGTCACTGGGCCCCGAGCTGCACTGAATTACTTAACAACGCTCCTCTTACTGTGGTCATTGCAACTCCCACCCAAGGACGTTTTCCTGATGGGCTCGGGTGGGTGAGATATTGAGAAGGCTCTGGGACGCAGCCACAGGCTCGCTGGGACGGGAACAGTGTGGGACTCGCGTGCAGGGACTGAGCCGTGCTGCCAGGTGCTGGGTATCAAATGAGCCTCCCTGCAGCAGCAGGGGGAGCAGGCACCACCATCAAGAAGGAAGAGCCCTAAGATCCCTGAACATTGAACCTCCTTGATCCAGGGACACAAGCCGTGACACCCAGAGAAACAGCAGTAGGGTGGCAGCAGCAGAACCCCAAACCAGAGCACAAGATGGCTAGGGGGGGCGGGGTGGTGGTGGCTGGGAAGGGAGGGAGTGAAGCTGAGTGCCTCTGGGCAGAAGGCTTGCTTGCAGTGTGGGTGCCTCCGGACACTTCATGGGGCGCTGGGGCTGCTGATGCAGAGATCCAGCGGAAGGCCTTCCAGGCTGCGGTTCTAGGAGAGTAGTAGCATGCCCTCTGGACATTTATTGGCAGTCCCCAAAAGAGCTTTGTAATTCTGCTTGAATCGGCCCAAGGCCAAAGGAAAGTAGGGTTGAGAGAGAGGTCTGCCTGAGGGCATGGCTGAGCAAAGGCTGTCCTGACTGAAGAACTGTGCCCCGACCATTTTGGATCCTGAATGGGAACCTGTTAATGTCCCGGTGAAGGCCACAATTGTGAGTTGCGTGTGGTTGCGGCATAATTACCAATCCAAGCTTAGAAGCAGAGTTCTGTGGGAGGGCTGGTTGGCGTCAGAATTGGTAAGTGGAGGCATGTCTGACCTCGGCCTCACAGGAATTGGCTTTGGGCTGAGGCTGAGGGCAGTCAGACCTTACCTCCGTCACACTCTACACCAGGAGACTCTACGCCAGACTTAAGAGAGTAGAGGCACCCATGTGGGTCAGCCACCTGAACCTCGTTCACTCAGCCTGGGACATTTCTGTGGGAATGACCTTACCCAGGGGCCAAGGGCTGGCCATATATCCAGACCCGGCCAACAAAGTCACCACATCCACCTCCCGGCCCTGCCTTAGAAATTGCTCGGGCGGGAACCTAGCACCAACCAGCACAGGAAACCCCAGTCCCAGGACATCTGTTTGGTCTATGGGAAATGGGTGGGCCCTGGGGGTGCTACACTGGTGGCTATGCACTTGGGGCTTCTGAAAGTTCATGGGAAAATGAGATTTTTCGAAGCTCCCTCATATTTGTGGAGCTTCCAAGCACTGCCTTAGAGCCTGTCTGAAAATAAAGTTGTCAGGCAGTCAGACAGGGACAGGGGTTGTCCCTCCCCATGCCGGCACAGGAGGTTTGGAAGAGAGCCAGGCGAGCCTTACAGACCAATAAAGACCCTAACTGAGTATGCTCCAATTCAAGCCCCCCAAGCCAGGTGGGCAGTACAGCTGGGCGGCCCAAACTAGGCCCAGCTGGGCTTAATTCAGCCACTGGGGTCAAACAATACCTTCCACCACGCCTTCTGAGCCGAGGTTTACGTTACCCTTGCCGCGGGAAAGCAGTCTTCCTTTTTACCCCACTTCTGCACTTGGGCTGGCCACTCCCTCTCTGGCCTCAGGTCACCATGTGTGGGTGAGCAGTCCCACGAGGTTGCCCCTGTTCGGTGGTGGGCCCCAGAACGGCTTTCACACAGTTTGGCATGCTTCCCTGAAATAGCGTGTACTCTTTTGAGACTGTAAAACCCGAAACTTCTTCCGTCCTTTATAAAAACCCACTTGGATCACAAACCACGCTTCGGCGTGATTATTTCTCGCACGAAGCCAAGGACTGAGGTATTTCCCACCCAAGAACCCTAACAAAGTCACCACAGAAGAATGCAGCGAAAGTAACCCACCCAAGGGGAGGGTGTTGTTTATATCTCCACAGGGAAAGAGGGACCAGATTCAACCCAGTGCTCCAAGGTGTGAATGCAACATGCTGGCACGGAGTGCGGAACCAATGGAGAGGTCTGAGGGGCTGGCCCCAGCCCCAAATACCAAGTGGATGTCTGCCCCTCCCCCGAGAAGAAGTTATTTCAAAGGATAGCACTGAATCCGCAGCTCCGGGAGAAGGATATATCTGACCAGAGCACACAGGAGCAGATGATGGAGGAGGAGGAGAGACTGGAGCACATCCTGGCCCACCAGGCCTTGAGGACGATGACCCCAA